AAAGCTTCAAAGCTTTTTAATGGCTGTAAATGGTGGAATTGCTGCTCTCTTTTCCTTTCTCTATATACTGAAATTTGGGATTGCGAGATAGAGAGAGACGTAGAGAGAATTCTCAAATCTTTGCAACAACATCCAATCCAAACAAACAACGTCTTTTGAAAACCCAAATTCGAATTCAAAGCCTTGGCTATGGAAGAAATAATGGGATTTTGATACATAAATCGTGGGTGTGGGAGGGAAACGTGGGTGAAAGTGTGGGAATTGGAGAGAGAAACGTCAGGGGAGTGGTATTAGAAGGAATATACGGTACCATTAAATTAGGAGTGTAATTACCCTTAAAAACCACTAATGGTATATAATTGATAATTAGGTATACTAAATGTAATTATATCAAACCTTAAAAATTGAGGGTAATATAGTTTCCTATATGGCATAGGAATGTAAAAATTCCTTTAGTAAACTAACTTAATTTGTGTTGATTTTTATAAGTAGAAATCAACTTAAGGCAACTCACGTACACATCGACTATTTTGTCATGTACCTGCTATAAAAAAATATTAATATATACACGTTTAAGGAGTAAACACCAAGCATTAACGATGCCGCCACATTGGTTAATTTAGAGCTCGAGTCATGAAAGCCTAATCCCCCATTTATTATTTCTATATTCTACATCAGACTTGAAGGGAAGTCTTGCAGCAACAGTAAATTTGTCTTTGTATAACCTAGGGATCACGGGTTCGACCCGAACCAGCCACTGATACTTGCATCAAGATAAGCTGCCTATATTACATTCCCTGAGATGCGGCCCTTCCCTGAACCTTGCATAAACGCGAGATTCTTTGTACACCAGGATACCTTTTATTCTACATTACACTTGACCCAACTTATTTGGAACCAAAACGCAGTAGCAGTTAACTTGCGTTGTTGCCCGAAATAGAATTGAAACATGCTTAGGAATGGCAAAGGGGCAGGGTGGTATGAAGCAAGGTGAAGTCCTAACAGTGCAATTTCTGAGCCCCTCCACCATCTTGTAAACTGCAATTTCTCCATCTCTGGTGCACTTTACCTTTACTGCAACAACCCTGTGTCCCCTCCCATAACACTATCATACTTTATTTTTCAAATGCTCAACTAAATGCAAAAGAAAAAGTGAATAGTTTCTATCTAACAATTATTTTTAATAACCGAGAAATACTCGAAAGCCATGGCGCACGGTTCGAAAATCGGTGAATAATGGGCCCACTTCTATCCTTCTCCACTTAAAAACCAAGCATTTCGTCTGTGATAGAGTTGTAATCCACAATGTATATCTAACCCACACATCACATGTTGTGCTTTTACCAATACACCAGAGCCCTCCTTAAAAAGAAAAAAAGTGTTTTCCAGCTTAACATGCTACCAGCCAGGACAAAACCTGTATATCGCGATGAGGAATGGAGAAGCAACATTATATCTTCGAATAAACCAATATACACTGCCCATAAACAACAGAATATGCAGAAAGGGAAAAGAAATGGATAACTGGAGGAGATTCTTTTATGTCAAGAGAGTAGAGAAATAAAACTCATACAGCTGCTAACCCATAGAAGCCTAGATAAGTCACAAACTGAACTTTGGAAGCGATGGTTCTCCGATAGCCCAGGGTTCTCCTTACGCTTTAGTCTTGTTGCGGATATATATACATGGTGACAACACTTGTATGTTGCTGACCTGAGTTAAAGACTTGGTGCCTTGGTAATTCTTGAATTTCACCAACCCATTAATGTTCTTTTAACTTTCTCCAAGATTTCAGTTCGAGCTCGCTTGCTGGCTAACGGATACTCTGGGCTTTCATCCAAAAGGAACCTATATACTTCCCACTGCCGCTCTGCTGTTGAATGCCTTGCAATTTCAGCCTGCAACCCAATTAGGAATGTACACATTATGGGAACTGGAGATAAGATACAATAACACTTCCTTTACAGCTATGGGAAGTAAAAACGTTTATGAAGGAGAATTTGAGCATCTGGCACTTACCGAGAAAATACAGATCCCAAGCTTTTTTAAGGCAAATGTGACATCATAGAAGACACGCGGCCTTCCCTTCCCAGATAACTCAACAGGATTGGCAACTAATAGTTCTGTATCTGGGCCACGACTAGCAACAGTGACTCGCAGTGGATGAAGCATCTCTTCCTTCAAGCGAGAACACAAGGATGCTTGGTTTTCATCATCTAGAATCTTTTTCCCATCTGTTCTCTGGATAAATAGGTCTATGGTGCGATAGCCCTTGGCGGAAGACAAGATTCTTCCAAAAGCAATCTAGACGTTGAAATAGCAAGTACATATGTTTAATGTCAAAAAAATAAGGCAATAGGAAAGACATTCCAAACTAGAAGCACCAATAAAGACATGAAGTATAGATAATCTCATTCTTTATATGCTCCTAATCTTTTTTTCCTTTGTGGACAATTTAGACAGAAAATTTGAATCCACCTCGACCATCGAAAGTGTTTTGCTTACAAAACAATTTGACTAACAGTTACTAAAATATATGGTACCTGAATATCACAGTCCTTTGAAGTCCTCAAAATGTCATAGATGAGACCCTTTTGATCAACACATTGTATTTGAAGCAAGGTATGGACTGGGCTCAATAAGTTATCCACTGTGATGGTTGCCTTCTTTAATTTTGCCGTATCAGAAGAAGAGGACTTAGGAACTGCTTCCTTAGACAATTCACAACTAAACAATTCTTCTGCAACTTCTTGTGGAAGAGAAGAGAATCCTTGCTGAACTTCGCATTCAGGCCCTGCCAACTGAAGCTCACAGCTAATGCAGTATTCTCCCAAAACATCACTTAGATGTTCACACGTCTCATCTCGTCTTTGTTTCGTGTGCAGCAAGTCCCTAATATGGCAACAGAACACCAAGAAGAAATGTAAAAGAAATTACCACATAACAGGCAATTATTGATAACCTTTAATGCTTAGTTTTTCCTCATCTGATGGGGAGCAGATGAATACCAACCACATTAGTAATGGCCCAACAGTTAAATTATATGGTGGAAATGAAGTTTGAATTGCCAAAAGGATCAGCAAGAGACAAATCAGAGTATTCTACCAAAAAACACTTCAAACTTAGCGCAGGGTGGAACAAAAGCTACATCCATAATCTTTTCCCATAGTTAAATAATCTGGTTGCTGCGAGATTTTATATATATTCTTTTAAATAATCTGGCTGCTGTAAGATACTATATTATGAAACTGATATCAAGCCGGCAGCACCATCAATCATTCAGTCACCAGTAACTGTTTGGTTTACTGGCCAAAAGAGGCTTGATAAATTAATTAAGTACTTCTCTTACTTAGAAATAAGATTTTTATTTAATTATATTGGCTTAAAAATTTGCATGACCCTGTGAATTTTTGTTTCATGATGCCTCAATCCCAAACTAGTTCAGATCGCCTATATGATTCCTCTATATCCAGTGCTCTACCCGGACCCATTGCATTCCTGAGAACAAGAATCAAATTACTGCTACCATGTTTGTCTTCAATATCTGATACCTTACAGAGTTAGAGTTGCTTCAGTGTACAAGTGTAAGAGAGCACAATAACTGAAATTGAGTTTGACCTTGTAGTTTTTTGACCTTGTAGTTATACCTTAGTGGTGGTAGGTTTAAATAATAATGGCGTTAAAGAAGAGTTGTTCAGTCCAAATAGTCGAGTCACTGTGGTTCAACCATCAGATATGTAATAGCTAATGGGATTAGAAGACTAGCATCAATAACAATGCAGCAAGGAAATAAAATATAAAATCTTATATTAAGTAGAGAACTAAAAGCCAATTAGGTTGAAAATCAAAGGTGCCTTAAAGAACTTCAAGAAATTACATGTCATCTGTTAAGAAGAAGAGATCCAAAACTTTGTCATCTGGTGTTGTCATAACTTTTACTCTTTGAATTGTTAGCTCGAGCTCGCAAAGGACCTTGGTAACATCTAAAAAGCACAAATAACCACATAAGAATTTTATGAAGCCACGTGCAAGTAAAAAAGGCACAAAAATTTAGATGCATTTATACTTACCATGTAGCAACCCTTTCCTGTCTAGGCAAAAAACCTTCAATAGGTAAACTGTAGGACGTGGGGAACAAGTGGACTGTTGGCTTAAGTAATACGGAATCATGCATGATGGACATGCAGACATAAGCCGATTTTTCAAGCTTGCCCAATCAACTTTCAGACAGCTTGGACGTGGGACAACCCATAGTACTATGTAACACCATTTCCCATCGGTGGCAAAATCTGTATTAAATTATACATCAATGTCATACAACACATCGAGTGGCTGATGAGTGAAATCATGAAGGTGTAAGATTCAATGGAGCTGTCCAACATTTTGCCGGTGAAAAGCAAGAACGCGAAGCTATATGCATTATTTGAGAAGTTTTAAGTTCAATTAAAGATGCGTTCTGATATTTTATAGCAAGTAGTTCTATCATCGCGGGTTTATTTTCAAACTTTTGACACGGAAAAGGACCCAGAAAAAATGTTAAAGATGTCAAGTACTTTTACAGATATAATTCAACTTGGAAGCAAGCAACACGACACTTAATTAGTAGTATCTTTTATGTTTTCAGCTTTAGCTTAACATGGAGTAACAAATATAGTATGAGAAGCTAGAGAAGGAGCTTATCCATTATCAATATTCCACTTTCTGCTGATGGGTCAGAAGATTAAACAACCTAACTCCAAAACTCTACACAAAAAGCTGAACCTTTCTGGCCGCCAAGTCAGCACGTAAATACTCCATTGTCCATTCTATACGGCACATTTTACTTCCTAGTCTGTCCTAAAAGAACGACACATTTCTATCTATATTTATCAGAATTTAACTTCAAACTTCTCATTTTACCTTTAATGAAATGGTAAATACCCAAACAAATATCTATGGCTTTGTTTTAGACCATAAGTTTCAAGAGACTCTTTTTATATTTTAAACTTAGGCTCAGTCAAACATCATGACATAAAATGGAACGAAACATAACATGGAACGAATGGAGTAGTGAAAATGTGTAGCTTAGGTTTCATACAACCAAAGATACTAAGTTGGGATTGAAAGCATATCAATGTAGCTTAGGTTTCATACAACCAAAAATACTAATTTAGGATTGAAAGCATATCTGATTGATATTAAACGAAATAAATGTTCAAATAATTCAAGAAAATCAGAATCTTTTGGAAGAAGAAATTACAAAAAAGAAAACATAGCTGACCTCCGCGGTTTACATAGAGTCCGAATTCAAGAACGATACGACAGAGATCGCATCCGAGTCCAGCTTTATCGGGGCAATTCACGGTTATAACAGTCGGGTCACCCGATTTCACACCGGGTTCCATCAAAACAACATCGTCCCATGCCATCCCCATTTCTCCGGCCAGAATTTTACCGGCACCAGCGGCTGAATTTGAGGAGTTCCACGGCCAGAATTCACCGGTACCGGCGGCTGAAATAGAGAAATTAACCGGGCGAATTCATAAATCTAAGGAAGTTTGAAGCCCTAAAAGACAAATCCACACCGCCCCCTATTTTGCAAACAATCGGTGGTTTATTTCAGCTGAAATTGTCTATGTTGTGTCGATGAAGAGGTTGTTGTTTGGTCAGAAATGGGTCCCACAGCCACATCGTAACCACGTCAGACTTAGTTTGGCATTTTTCAGTAGTAGTAATAAAATAATTTTTACGATTCGTTATATATAGTTAGGGGTGTTCATGGTTCGATTTGGATCGGTTTTTTCTAAAAAGAAATCAAACCAAGTAAGTCGGTTTTTCAAATATTAGAACCAAACCAAACCAAACCAATTAAGTCGGTTTTTTCTCAATTTGGTTTATGTCGGTTTTTCGGTTTTTTCGGTTATTTGTCGGTTTTTTCTTAAATATAAGACATACACTACCAAACACATATTCCGGAGACCACATTTTCAACGTAACACTATCAAATTAATTTTCCTTTGAGAAATCTATTATTTACCAAGATATATTGATGATAATTGAATAAAATAGTGATGAATAATTTAAGGACTCAATTAAAAATATATTATTTTTAACACGAAATGGATTCTTACACTTAACAAAAGAAAACTACCATTCAAACTAGAATGTAAAGGTAAAGAACTATACTAAAAGTGCAAGCTATTAACATTTACCATTAAATTTTTGAAACTTTATATAAAAATATACATATATATATATAGGTGTAATAATGAATTTGAAATAGCTACTCCTATAGTCGGTTTGGTTCGGGTTTTTTTCTGATTAAAACCAAAACCAAACCAAATTTGATCGGTTTTTTAAATTCAAAACCAAAACCAAACCAAACCAAAAATTATCGGTTTTTTTGGTCGGTTTGGTTTGGTTTTCGGTTTGGTTCGGGTTTTCGGATTTTTATGAATACCCCTATATATACTGAACCACAATATATGGAAAAATTCAAGAAAGATTTTTGATAATATGTTAATTATTAATAATGATGTTATAAATAGAATTTTATTTATGGTGAATGTCTATATTTAGAGAGATTCTAAAGTTTATTACTTGGTGGCTAAGTCACCCTCTCCCTATAAATAGAGGGTTCTATTCCATTGTAATTTATCCCAAATCAATAAGAATTCTCTCTCCCTACTTTTCTCTGCAATACTATTCTTCTTCTTTTATTTCATAACACGTTATCAGCACGAGACTCTAACCAATTGAGTAGAAGCTTTGGGATTGAGCAAAATGATTGTCAATTATTCCATGAACTTCCTTCATGATTAAATTCTTGATTTAAGGTAAGTATTTTACCGTATTTTTCTCTTTTATTCTATACTTTGATTTTAAATACAAGCAAAGACAACAAAGTTTGATTCTAATGGAGTTTGTAAGAAATTATAACCACCTGAAGTGGTAAAATTTCTATGCCTCGCCATGATCAAATTCATGTATGATTGTGGGCAAAGAATTGAAAACCCGTCCCATTGAATTTGCTCCATTCTCATTCCCTTAAGAGAATGTGATAGCAGTATGTGATAAGTCTGAAAGAAGACAAAATTATTACTATGAATGTATCAATGGATATGGACGTGGCAATAGACGAAATTATAATCGTCATCATTTGTGGTAATGAGAACAATAAGGATTCTCAAAATAATCTTTCACTCTGTGAAAAATATTTGTCATCGATTTGACATGAGATTTTGTAAAGCACATATAGATGATTATGGTCCGTTCATGATGCGAATGTGACAACATCTGATTTATGAATACATATTCATTATTCAAAGAATATGAACGTGCTAGTGGTAGTGAATATACCGCACTCACCTCTAAAAGGAGGTTTGGGATGATATAAGAAAATAATGTCATTATTATGGCATGAATGGTCATTGGTCACGTACCTATTGTACGCTAAAATATTTTGGCATTGTGATTGTTAAAAGACAACAGTAATGCAAGAAACAGATCTTGCATATAATTTTGACCATAACCATAATGGTATAACTTTCTCTTTAAAAGAGATATTCACCATATGGGTGTTGATAAATATGTGGTACTACAAAATTAATTGAGAACTCTGCAAGAGCCAATTATACTATTTTGGAGAAACACAATTAATTACCAATAAGGTATTGTGTTGTAGTAAGTCTCAAAGAAACTTATTCAGTTTCCAAAGTATACGCGAAAGCGGTTGATTATATTGAGACTATAAATAAAGGAAAGATTTAATATCTTCTATTACTACAACTTGTAGCGGGGTAATATATATGTGAAAAGCTACCCGCTTTATTCTCCAATTTGTACTACATAAACAAAAGAATACCACAATAAAGTGGGTATTTATTGATATAAAAACCCATATCATAATAAACTTGGAGTTTATTGATAATTGCACACGTCATGGCGTAAATCTGAAGTTTATCAATATTAGCCATATCAATTTAAGTATGATGTGCAAAAATAATAGAGAATTCACATGGGTAAATATTAAAGAACTAGAAAGTTCTATACGAATTCTCTTATATTGCCCGTTCTCATTAATTAATAGACCAACTAAAATTGGGATTGAATCCCATGAATGCTGGAAATATCAAAGGTGAATATGAGCCCATTCACCTGCCATGTATATCACATAAGATGTATCTATGAGATGGTTACATGTGTGATTATTATTAACCCGCAACATGGTGTTTGCGAGGTAACTTGCTCAATAATTTTATTTAGAACATAATTTCCAGATTTTTTATTCAAGATAGTTCATCTTGATAAGTTGGTTTACATCACAGTTGGTTTAGCAAAATAATTTATTGAGTGCCTCCACTTAATAGCTAAACTATTGCTTATGAGAACAAAGTTATCTATATCAGTATGATATACGTTATATACGAAAGTACATTACATTCTCCCCTCACAAGTGGTTCAAGGTCAAGAACCAAATAATTCCATCTTATTATTATTGATGTGCGGTGTATATTTTAATTAACACAAAACGCACAAAGGTGATGAAGCAAGTTAGTTTTTCTAACATGATGGGGAGAGATGATAACATTTAAGAAAAAGTTACGCGGAATGAATTATCATTTTTACATCTAGATCCTCGAATAAAATAATATGAACTTGAATTTCATAAAAAGATAATTCATTTGCAATATATTGCAAAGCATGCCAGACGCATTTGCTGACCCAAAGAAAGTAACTATATTCTCATTGCAAATGCTCATATTAAGTCCTATAAGGACAAAGTCTATGGTACGCTTAAAGCGTATAGACAGATCGGTTTCAAATAAACTTCTTAATAAAGAAGATGAGCAAATGATCAAAATGATCATAATAAAGGAGGCAAGTGATCTAGAAGATCACATGACATAACACTTCATAAAATCTCAGGAGAGATTCAGGTACCTGAAAATATGAATGAAGAGATCTCTATGTCATGTTTTTATGAAAATAAAGCTAACCGATATAAAATGTTCGTCGACGACGTCTATCATAGCGCTGAGTATAGATGAGGATCTTAAGTTTGTCGAATACAGACACAAAAATATTGGCCAAATAGAAGAGACGAATTCAAGTAGAATTGGTTTCATATGAAAGAAATGTTGTTTTGGACCTACAGTTCAAATACTTGAAAGTATAAAGTCAATGATATGTGCAGTCAGTTTTCGATATCTTATATGTCTAGTATGACATGAAAACTTGATATCCATTTAAAGTCTATTATATGGCTTATATGACTTAACTTATATGACAATCCATGAAGGATTTAAGTTGCTTGAAGCATATACAATTCTTGATCTTGAAGTACCACATCCTCGGTGCAATTTGTGCATATATGTATCTTGCTATAATTATAAGCATGATAATATGATAGTGAGAATCTCTATGGAGATATTGAAGAGCCATTCCACGACATTATATGAAGACATTATATATCTATCAAGAATGATGATTTCAAGGTGCAATATATTCATTCAAGTTAATATGGCTGATTTGTTTATCAAATCTCTACCAACGATCTCTGGAAGATGGTGCACAAGATTGGAATGCAAATGCTTAAAGATGTGAATTGATACTCTCATCAGGGGGAGTTAATACGCGTTGTACTCTTTTTCCCTTACAAGGTTTTGTCCCACTGGGTTTTCCTTGCAAGGTTTTTAACGAGGTAACCAAAAGGCGTATTGTTAGATATGTGTACTCTTTTTTCTTTTCTAGAATTTTTTTCCATTGGGTTTTATGTTAGTTAAGGTTTTAACGAGGCACATTATCTGTTGAATAAACATTCAAGGGGGAGTGTTATAAATAGAATTTTATTTATGGTGAATGTCTATATTTAGAGAGATTCTAGAGTTTATTACTTGGTGGCTAAGTCACCCTCTCCCTATAAATAGAGGGTTTTATTCCATTGTAATTCATCCCAAATCAATAAGAATTCTCTCTCCCTACTTTTCTCTGCAATACTATTCGTCTTCTCTTATTTCATAACAAATGATACTTATTTGCCTTTAAGTATTAGTAGATCCTTCCATTTTGGACGTGTGATAAATTGGAAGATAAATCCGAGCGCAAGAATAAAAAGCACAAATTGAGAATATTGGATTCGGATACATTTTTTGCTGGTCCCCTAAGAATATTCTATAAAATTATAACGATATAAAAAAGTAAGTATGATCGACTTTTGCAAGGAAAATTCTAGCAAATAAGAATATTAATTTTTAATTTTGATGAAGATACGAATAACAAAATAATATAATTATTGTCTATTTATATCAATAATTTTATTTTGCGCTTGTTACTCAAATATATAGTCACTCGCCTATTTCATGCAACCTAGTTCGTTACTCGAGATATTAAATTTTTCAAAATATAATTTTGAGTAATTATCAACGATATTTAAGAATGTTACCCTTTTAAATGCGTATTCATTTTTGCTAAAAAGTTTATTCGTAATTATAATTTGTCGACACTACTAAGTTGGAATTAAAGATTAATAGAATGGGTAATTATATTTAGGGTTACATATTTTTACATAAAATTACAGTGAGAAAGATAATAATGCATTAAATAAAGATAAAATGCACAGAGTCTTAAAAGTGCTATACGTGTCCAAGTTTTGTTGACAGCGCTACATTTTCAGCTGTATGTGCATCAGAATTACAACACAAAATCTAATAAGTTTCAAATCAACTTCGCCTTAAAAAAAATAA